CCTTTCCATAAAAACGGACGTCAAATTAGGACGAATAATCGATAATTTGTCGCTGTCCGTAAAATCAGACAAACTGCAAATGGGTAATGATTTATCTGCCAGTGAGTGCTTGTTCAACGAGCGCATAGAATTTACTTTACCGCTGGCATAAAAAAAGTCATTCATTTACATGTATCTCGTATGTTTGAGGAAACAGACTTGTTCCTGTATAACTATTGTTTACGTCTGGTGATTTTATCCAAAAAAACAAAATATTATAGTCATTATAATATTGTGTCGAGCAAGCTGATCTTCATTTAGCAACGAGACACGCAATAATTTAATAAATGTGTTATTCTTGGGTCTGCTGTGTCTACAACACAAAGCTGAACGCGATCTCGTTTCTTTGTACGATAAATTAGTATAAATATATTTCGCTGAAGAGACAGATCAGTTCGTGTTCTTACAAAAAATATATATTAACTATTGTAGACTGCGTGCACTGGATGAATACACAAGTTCTTTCACGTCTGCTGAACGCGTCTTCTCGGAACGCGTGACAACTCGTTTGGCTGGACGGTACGGCACGATCAGTCTGATAACTACGAGAACTTTCACTCTCTTTTGCTGAATTCAGATTGCTTTCTACGAAGGGTTTTCTTACAGGTGAAGTATAATGTCATTTTAGTCGCGAATGATCAGAAATGATCGGAATTGCAACTCTGCTTCGAAAGCAAAATTAATGTCATGACCTTCGACAAATTTGAATGGCCTTCAAAAAACGACGTCGGGCTGTCAGCTGAGCTGTAATTAGTCAAGAAAAAAATTCACCTACCTGTTTGAAAATGTTGACGAAGTTGAAGACGTAGGTTTGGGATTATTGCCGTTGGTCTGAGCAGATTTTTCTGTCGACATCGTTTCATCAACACCGCCAATTGTTTCGATTTCGTTGTTGGCGTTCGTACGGTTTGGAGAGGACGTGTCACAGAGCCGAACCGTCGTGTTCTTGTCTGAAGGTAAGACCTTGTCGCTGGTTTCCGCGCTGCTCATTAATTTTTGCTTTGGAACAGCTTCAGCATTTCCCATGCTCGAGATCAGTAGAGGTTCCAATAAACATGGATTCAACAGGCGGACGGCTCAAGAAGCACGCGAATGACGAATGAAAGCATCACTTGACCACTGCTGAGAATTATGCATGAATAACAAACCAAGGAACAATATCGTTGTTTTGTGATGTCTACTTACAGCTATCTAACTGCACCTTTATCCTAATGCAGTAACAAGTTCAATTCATTTTGGAATATTTTTGAGACTTTTGTAAGTCGACTTTGACTTTAAGAAAAAAATTTCCTCTTACCTGACGTCAGCCCTGTTTCTATCAAGTGCGTGTTTCGTGCTCGTTATATAGTCTCGTCCGCCCGCGCATTCATCAACAGTGACGCAAGAAAAATTTAAATGACAAAAGTCCCAATTGCGTGACTGAGAAGGGTCAATGACATAAAAGATTGCATTACTTATGAAAACATAATCTTCCTGCCAGGCTGAAAATTCTTGTTTTTCTGCAGATTTAAGGCTGAAATTTTCTTGTGAATATTGTCAGATTATAGCGTGACATTTCTTTTTTCGAATGTATCTGGTGGCTGGACGGTGTTAAAGTAATTTTGGAGCCAGCCTGTAGGTATCAAAGCCTGATATAAAGTACATAATCTCTTGCAAGAATGTTATAAGCATGGAACATACGGCTAATGCTGTTTTTGTTGGTTTTTGGCTAGTTTTGTCGTGTAGAGAGATGAAGAATTTTGTGCGGTTTAGTTAAAAACATATAATTGTATTGCATTTACAAATTTTCAAAAAAAATTCAAATTTTACAAAATTATATTCTTTTCAAAATCTCAGCCTCGGGTTTATTCTCGAAATATTCTTAAAATTTCGCAAATTTCAGCCTCGATATTCTTATAAAACATATTCTTATAAAAAAGAAAGAGTGTAGCAAAATACTAATCCGATTTTTGCGCCCCCTTCACGGCCGCTCTCGCGCTCTGCGCTAGCATCCCTCGCGCGCTCGAAGAAAAATAACTCGTAAAACAATGTAGACAGACTAATTAATAAACAGGTGCTGACCGGTTTCATGCGGCAAAACCATACTCTCGACATTTTTAAATGTACAAAACACCTTAGAGCTTGACATAAAAATACCGCGATGGACCTTTTTACCCATCAGTTTGCCGAATTTGCATCCGTTGCAAACTCATGAAAATATGGGACAACGCTCGCTTCTCGTCATTCACTCTTTATATAAGCCTGGATATTCCGGCCCAGGCCGAATACTTATTCTTCTGCCGATTTTAGGCTTGGTGAATAACGTATGACATTTCTGTTTTCGAATGTATTTGGTGTCTGGATGGTGTCTTCGTCATTTTGGAACTGGCCTGCAGGCCGTTTAAGCCTCATAATGATATGACGCACATAACTTCTTGCAGAAATGTAATTAGCATCGAGCATACGGTTAGTGTTGTTTTCGTTGCTTTTTGGCTAGTTTTGCCGTCTAGAGAAGTTTAGTTAAAACATATAATTGTATTGTACTTACAAAATGTCAGCACAAAAAGTAATATTCTTTTCAAAATTTAAGCTCAGGGATTATTCTCAAAATATTCTTAAAATTTCGCAAATTTCAGCCTCAATATTGTTATAAAATATATCCTTAGGAATTGACAAATACTTGTGAAAACATAGTTCGTGGCAAGTCTGACCCGGCGTTTCGTCTCGGCCAAGAGACTCTTCAGAGACCTTTAAGAATTTAACAGCAAACTCGTTGAGCATCGCGCTCAAAGTCCCGTTTGTAAATTCAAGATGTTAGCAGTCTGGCCTTCTATCGCAGAAGGATTCCCAACCGCACGTACGTTCACATTTATACAATAGGAATTGACAAATACTTGTGAAAACATAGTTCGTGGCAAGTCTGACGCGGCGTCTCGTCTCGGCCAAGAGACTCTTCAGAGACCTGTCAGAATTTAACAGCAAAAATATATCCTTATATAAAAAAGTGTACTTTTCTTCGTAAAAATTGGTAAGTTTAGCTAGGGTCTAATATTTCCATGTTTTCGCAATAGATGCTTATTAAACTTCGCATATTTACTAATTTCGGTGTGATCTATGGAGGTGGTTTTTTAAAATACAAAAAATTGTTGATATTGCGTGACAGCTTGAAGCAACTTCAGGAAACCGATTGCGTGACGTTAATGATCTGCTGCTCCGGCAATCCCAAACTCTCACGGTCGCAAAAAAAACTCCGAATGTTTAAAAGTAGGTATACAACTAGTACAGTGCTGTCACACTCCCGAAGTTGAAAACAAGGGAATATTATGTGGATATACATCTAGTAGCTACTACTGCTCCCGCAGTCCCACAGACCGAAAACAAGGCCCCCGGTCGAAAAACAAGATACATCGTGTGGCCTGTTCGTAGTCTCTCGTTTTTAGAACGAAGAATATGCGTTGTGTGTAGCGTATCCGTGATCTCACGTTATTAGCTAGAACGAAGAATATGTACTGTGTGAAGCGTGTCCACGATAAATTATTCACAGTCACGTAGTCACTTAGCAAAAGTATTCTTCGATATGTAAATATTGACAGCGGCGAGCCGGACTGCGGGTGAAGAAGATTCATGTCATGCAATCGAGTACCCGCAATCGCTTTGTCCCTAACCCCTCTTTACCAAAAAATAAGTCCACTCAGCCCCCCAAATAATAAAAAATAATCAACCCTTATGATAGTAAATCCATTAGAAAGTACTTCGTATCATAAGGCCGTTGGCACTGTTTTTCATTTGCATGTGATTATAATATGTTTACTTATGATCCGTTGGTTGGAGCGCAGCGCGAAAATGGTGATTAACTGAACGCCTGGAAGAAGCTAATTGTAGACTTGTTTTGTTTCTTTGACCTTCATGTTTAGGGAGATTTTTCTTTCAATATGCCTTCGTTCGCCAGGTTCCTGAAAGCTATCTTATGTATACTGCAATCTCACCTGGAAATCTTCCTGCGTCACAGTAATGACCTAGTCTGCGATTAGTCTCTTTATTATCCTAGCGTGTGACGAAATACACTAATGCGAAGCAAAAAGAAGGATTTATAGTGGCGAGCAGCGATGAGAACTGGGGGTGGGGCACTTTGCCCCATTCCCTTCTGTTTGTTTCTTTAATTTGCATAATTTTAACTTTTCTAGTCTCGCGGAGAATTTAAGGATCAACCGACTGCTGGCCATAAAAACATACAAGCTACAGTCAAGCCCAATTAGGAGCAATTCAACTCTTTTGCTGGGTGGGGGAATAGTGCTGGAAGCATAACAACATGAGTCTACCACTAGCTGGGAGTGTACAACTTCCATACTAAGCCTATGTACCTGCATTTTTACAAACCGGTCAATTTTTAGGCTCTTCTTTTCCTGTGAAATAGGTCAGTTCCGGTCTACGTGAGGGTAGCCTGATTCTCAGACGTCCGCGGTCGTTCGCGGCCCTTCTCTCCCTCTCCCGTCTGATATACTCTGTGCAAGGTCGTGTTCTTGACGTCATCTCACCTATTGTATAGCGAGAGCGAATCACAACGCGCGTAAGAAATGAAGCGTGGAAAAGTCAGCAAATCAATTTCGCGCGGTTTTTTTTTTTTTTTTTTTTGGCAAAGCGAAGATTTCTTAGCTATGTTTCTAACTTCTCCCCCGAAGAAAGCCGTCTTATCTCAGACGAACTCGATTCAGTGCTTGTTCTGCGCTGAATTTCTGGAAACAAGCGATAGAATAGCGGTTTTGGGCGCTTTGCGAGGAACTCTGCAAGATTTTAGGCGGTGAATCACAAACTTCCAACGAGGACTTGCAATATGTTTGCAGAAGAAAATGCTGCCCAAAGTTGAAAAAGATCGAAAAAATGATGTGAAATCTCAAAAGTCTCGAAGATGAGTTGAGGGCAGAAGTGTCTGAAAACGCCGTGGTTCGCATTAAGTGGGGATTGAGTCAAGATCACACTCAGGAAGCTGGTGAAGATAGCTCTATTTCCTACAAATCCACCTCAAAATCAAACAAGGTTTCCTTCGCCAGTAACAGCAAGGGAGGTTACAAGTCTGACAGGGTTACCTCCTGCAGTTTCGATGGTTGGATATACAGCAGTAAGGCATTCAGGTGTTCCTGTAGTTGTGCGGGCATTTCCAGCATGTGTAAACATTGGGAGGAATTTCTTCTCACCTGCAAGTCAACTTAGCACATCTCAGCAGCTACCACCGGACAAACTTGGAGCAGCAAATAGGGAAACAGTGTCCAAAAGCAATTTAGATGAAGAGCCTTTTATACATGTGTGGACAATTTCTATAGTGAAGCCCCTATTTGCGTTTTTTTAAGTTTAATAATATTCCCGTAATATTCGATCATGGCTTGTTTTGCTAAAAAAAGGAATAAAGAAAATGGTACATTTTTGTTTGACGCAAGTGGATATGAAATGTTCCTCCTTAAGTATCATTATAATAAACTGTGTTTAGTGATGTATTTGGCTGTTAAGTGTGAGTATACAACGAATTTGTGAAAAACAAAACTGTTTACACAGAATATTTCAACAAATACTTTTCATACAAAGGTCCGGTTTTTCCAGGAAACCTTCGCCACCGACCATTTCCTAGAAAGGACTCCGGCGACGAAAATACCACGGAGCTCTCTCCTTTCTCAATCTTCAGATTCAGGGCCTTATCTTCTCCAATCAAGCCAGCTGATATGCCAAATTTCCATAAGAAATTTGTTTGATCTTCCACAAGGCTCACTAGTGGGATATTACAATTATCACTGGATTCGCTGCAAATCCATCGTGGCGTCGTGATTTCGACGTGAGCTAAAGGAGCCATCTGGAACACAAGCGACTTTCTGAATCCCGCTGGCAAGTTAAGAAGGACATCTATACCAGAAACAAACGTTTTTGAGCGCTTTGAACTGTTTAGAGGACAGTTTTTCCACGCCAAAAACTAGGCAAGCATTTTGCACGGCCGACTCGAATTCGAAACCTACCATCTTGAATTACATTCCATACATTCCACACTTCTCAGGATGTGGTACATCCGCTCTGATTGGTGGAAATTGACAATGGCTTTGACGTCATGAACACGTCCTCACACAGAGTATATCAGACGGGAGAGGGAGAGAGGGGCCGCGAACGACCTCGGACGTCTGAGAATCAGGCTAACGTGAGGGCGCATCGGTAAGGAAAAAAAAATTGTCTTTCTTTTTTATCTTCCGGTGAAATGATGACGTCAGTTAAAAATCAAGTCCGTGCTTGTTATTGGTCACTGCGGGGAAATCGGTCTGTGAAAACGCCGTGACAGGAATTTGGAGTAGTTGAACGTTCCTAGTGATAGGCTCCTGAAAACACTCAATGAGAAGTACCGTAACGATTCGATTTTGTGCCTTTCTTGGTGTAAACGCTTCCTTTCTAATAAACGCTCCTTACTGAGTGTCCTTTAATTTTCGATTAAGCCCCAATAGACTAGTCCCAGGTCCCAATCCAACTACTCCCAGGTCCTAATCCCCCGCGGCTACTGACCCAACCGGAAGTGAAATTTCACGTAAACGCGGTGGAAAAAAAAACGATGTCCATTTTTTCGATTTTCATATCCGTATCTCGTGTAGATTCCATAAAGCAAATTTAAAAAATAGCTGTGATATACACTTTAAATGTTATTTCGTATAATTTATTTCCTTACCGTGCTTTTACTGCCGGCGTTAACACAAAACAGAGAAAGTCAATGAAATTGAACTTGAAATCATCAGTGATAGATATTAGGAGACGATATAGTTTC